AAGAAGAATGCATCAAGTTATCCGAATGTTGACAAACTGCGATACCTTCTATGGATGATTTGGCATAGATGATCTCTATACTTTAAGACTCATTATTGATGGCATGTACCAACAAGACAGAACTGACAGCAGAGAACAAATTGGAACATGGCAGACCCCATTTTCCATGATTTTGATGTGATTTGGGATTTGGAAATGTTGGTGAAGTATAGGGCTGCAACAACTAATCGACATAATCGATTATAATCGATCACATGGTGCTCTATAATGTATTGCTGGGATTTGTAGTCCTCTATAGCTGATGGTACATTGTGCTGTACTGTATATTATACCATCAGCTATAGAGGACTACAAATCCCAGCAATGGTACATTATACACTGCATGCATAATGTATTGCTGGGACTTTGTGTTGTACTCCTATATAGCTGGTGGTATTCTGCATTGCTGTAAAGAGGACTACAAATCCCAGCAATAATGCATTATACAGCGCAATGCAGAATACCACCAGCTATAATGTACTATTGCTGGGATTTGTAGTCCTCTTTAGTCGGTGCCATTCTGCATTCATTGCTGTATAATTTTACACTTTCCATTTCACTATATTGCACACCACACTATTTTTTTTATTTTTTACTTCCACCGCTCCAAGCTTGCTCCTGTGATGGACTACAATCTCAATACAAACTAGTAGTCCATCACTGGAGCCTTTTTTTAAAATGTATTTTATTGTTTATTCGATTAATCAAACTTAATAATCGGCTAACTAATCGATTTTGAAAATAATTGTTAGCTGCAGCTCTAGTGAAGTATCATGTATGCCCCAGTATAGACTTCAACTCTGCACAGTCCATAGGACCTATTTGTACCTTCTGTATTATCGTACTAGGCTAACTTGAAAGATATTCCTGCATGAGGCAGATGCAGTTCTAAGTACTGTTATATACTTGATGTTGACGTACTTCCAAGATGCATCATTCCTGGAACAAAATTTGTAAAGCCTTTCCGGGGGTTGCGAGTCCATTCCTTGTTTACTTGCAAACGTAGCAGCAACCGTTGTTGTCCAACATTTCCAAGTGTGTCAGATGTACCCCATTGGGTGCCAATGTTTCTCCCGCCAGTGACCGTCACTACAGTTGGACGTGCTGTCCAACACACCTGGAAGTATCAGACAGCAGTGGTGCTGCTGGCTCCACATAGTTGGAAAGAATGGCCTGCCCGAGAGGCGAGTATTTATGCTTTTCTATTATATGGTGCAGCTGCCTCAATTTTTTTTTTTTTTAAAGTGGCAGGGTTATTTTAATGTAATTACATAATGTATGTTACACTAGAATATTCCCTGATAAGCTACCCAATGGAAAGCATTCGATGACTGGATGCAGGGGTGTGGCAATTAAAAAAAAAAAATACTTGTCTAAGGACTAAATTGGGGGCCCAATCTACTTGTTCTTTAATGACGATCTACTTGTTCTGATACAAATTTTTTTTAACCAAAACCGTATTTAACTGTGCCAAGAAGTGCTTCTCATTGGTCAGTGCTATCAGGTATCAAAATGCATGGCGCAGAGCTGCACTGGATGGCAGTATGGGGTACAGATAGTACACCTGTGCTGACGGAGCGGAAGGACCGTTCACCGAAAAGTATAGGGGGGGGGGTATTTGAGAGGGTAATTACTTGGGGAAAGTGAACTTACCCTTTAACGCACATTGTGCATGCTAAGACAATGCTGCTGCTGCTACCACAAACTGGCACACAGTGGAATGGGGCAGAACCCTACGCGTGCGTTTATTCACATGTTTCCAAAACTATACATACTCGTTAGTAAATTTCTCCTTTGCACTTATACAGTCATGTGAAAAAGAAAGTACACCCTCTTTGAATTATATGAAACTAAGTACCAGGACATAATACAAATGATCTGGTCCTTAGCAGGTCCTAAAATTAGGTAAATACAACTTCAGATCAACAACACACTGTGCCATTATTTATTTTACAAACATAGCCAAAATGGAGAGACCATGTGTGAAAAACTAAGTACACCTTATGATTCAATAGCAGCAATAACTTGAAGTAAATATTTTCCGTATGACTATCAGTCTCTCACATCATTGTGGAGGAATTGTGACCCACTCTTCTTTACAACGTTGCTTCAGTTCGTTAAAGTTTGTGGGCATTTGTTCATGCACAGATCTCTTAAGCTCCCATCACAGCATTTAAAATCAGGTTGAGGTCTGGACTTTGACTGGACCATTGCAACATCTTGAGGAAGTGTTGGATGCCAGTTTGCACCACTGCATTCTGTAGTACCTTTCTCTATGGCACAACAGGACTCAGAAATTATATAGAAGTCAGAGGAAGGTATCATAGCCTGTGGAGCACCACAGACATCCAACACTTCTGGAACTGTCAAATGTTAAAGAGACTGATGAAGGCTGCAGCGCTGAGGGAATATAGCACACAGGGGCTGCCAGAGAGGCAAGTATAAGAGCTCTTCCTCTGCAGGGACCTTTCTTCTCGATTCCATTTGTAAGCTGATAGGGTTGCTTTAACCACTTGAAGACCATGGTGTTTCACCCCCTTCCTGGCCAGGCCATTTTTCAGTATTCAGCGCTGCTGTACTTTGACTGACGTTTATTCCGTCATACAACACAGTACTGAAACGAATTTCATACCATTTTTTGGGGACAGATAGAGCTTTCTTTTGGTGGTATTTAATTACCACTTTATTTTTTACTATATAACAAAAAAAGTACACTAAATTATGAAAAAAAAACATGTTTTCCTATAAAATGTTATGAAACATTTATTTTCGCCCCAATTTTTTGGTACAATATAAAAGACGGGGTCACGTCGGGTAAATAGACACTAAACATGTCAAGCTTTAAATTGCGCGCACCCGTGAAATCGCATAAAACGACAGCGACCAAAATTGGCTATAGGCGACGCTTTAAACGTTTTTACCGCTCATCAGTTTAGTGTTATCAGTGATTGATGGGCCTAGAATGATTGCTCTCACTCCGACGTTCGCAGCGATATGTAACATGTGCTGCATAATGGGCGCAATGGTCATTTTCGTACATAGGCGCACCCAACTCATGTTTGCGTGTGTATGTGGGGGGGCGGGGACTTACATTTTTTTTGTGTTATTTTTTTAATTATTATTTGTAAATATTTTTTTTAGCTTCTTTATTTTATTTTTTTTACTTTTTTTTTGTAGACTTAACTTTATTGCTATAATATAGGGGACTAAGAAATCCCCTGTGTAATAGCCAGTTCACCAAACAGGTCCTCTATATGGAGACATCAGGGGTCTCCAAGACCTCTGATGTCACCTAGGGACCCCCAGAGAAGCTGATGAAGCAGAGATCCGCTTCACCAGCTTCTCTCCGGTGTTCTGCACCGGAGAGTGACACTGAATGCAGGAAGTGATGTAATATACATCACTTCCTGCATTCGGGGACAGGAAGAGAGATCAAAAGGGAGATCGAGTAATGATCTCCCTTTGATTCAAGAGACAGCAGTAATGCCAGACAGCTTTTGTTCAACCACCTTTTGAAAAAAAATCCACCATGGACAGTTTATCAGGGGGCAGTGAAGCCTGCTGCCCGTCTGATCGAGGCCTTTGAATACACAATCACTTAGGCATTTTGGCCAGAAATGTTTTGAGGATTAGGCAAACATGCAAGAACTCAAATAATATACAAATTCACTAAACTGTTGCAACCAACAACATTTGATGAAGTTGAAATAGGAATACATATTAGTTGCTATGTTTCACTGTCTAAATAAAGAAGACCATGTATAAAAATGTACTTCTCTCTCTAGGTTACTCCAATATAAAAAATACACAGGGGTTGCAATTGTTGCCTTCTGAAAATGTCCGCTGTCTTAATTTTGTGCAGTTGAGAAAAGTCAGAGAAAAAACCAGAAGTCCTCATCTGCATACTTTCTTTAGCTTAGCAGCTCACGTCATGAAGGACGAGGGTCTGCATGACTGGTGTAGTAAAGTGTACTAGTGCCATTACAGCAAGAAGCTACGGTTATTAGTCTTGAACTACTACCAGTATATACAGTATCTATTTTTCTATATCGTCAGTCTTACCTCCTTCCTCTTTAAAACACTCGTTGTGCTGCCTTTTATCACACAATTAAATCAAGCATGCCATCAACGATTACAGGAATACATTACTACAGGTAGCCACGATATATTTAATGGAATAAAGCAAAATAAAACTAACCTTATATCGCTTAGTCTTCCGGTTTTCTTCTTCAAGGAGGAGCTCATATTTAAAAATTTCGGATTTAATAAAGCTTACAAAACTGCAGTGATCCATTTCCATTGGCTGCACCTGTCAATAAGTTAAAAAAAAGCAATATTGATTTTAGTTTCTGTTTTACATACAGCTAAAAAACACATGTATACTATTATAAATAATAAATAGCTAAACAAAAAAAATAAATGAATACGTGAAACTGATGTTTTTATGAAAAATAGGTGAACTATGTGGAAACTTGCCAGTGCAGAGGTGTGGAATTCCTGGCGCCCAGGACATGCAGTTCCGGAAGCAGAAAAGTTTATGGTCTAAAAGCGCCAAGGACAATCCTTATCCCTCCTGGGGAAGAAATCGTAAGCACATATGCAAGGTGCAGCCTCAAAACAGTCAAGGGTACTGGAACATCTAAAAAACACAAAAGAAGAGGCGCCTTTCCTGGTGCAATATCGTTTAAACAAAAAAGAGAGGCATAAAAGTGAATTGACAAGTACTCACTATGTTGAAAATAAAAACAAGCCGTAGGACAATATGACCGGAGCAAAGAAAAGATCCGGATAGCGTGTCCTGTGTAAAGCACAGATTTACGTCCTGATGAAGGGGGCGTGCCCCGGAAACGCGTCGACACAGCAGTGCTTTACACAGGACACGCTATCCGGATCTTTTCTTTGCTCCGGTCATATTGTCCTACGGCTTGTTTTTATCTTCAACATAGTGAGTACTTGTCAATTCACTTTTATGCCTCTCTTTTTGGATTAAACGATATTGCACCAGGAAAGGCGCCTCTTCTTTTGTGTTTTTTAGAAGTTCCGGAAGCAGGGTTAAATGTAGAGCAGGGGAGCCAGTGCTCGTTTTGTACAAGTGATATCAGTGACTGTACAGCCGTCTAGATCACTTTGTGATTTCTGGGGTTCCACACTTTTCTGGGGGACCCGGGACCATGACAAATTACATCAGGATGGAGAGCTGGGAGCAGAGCGGAGAACGTCTGTTCTCTGGTATGCTTCGTGTTAACAGTGCGACAGGAGAGCTGTAAATACTTTTGGCTGCCGTAAGGTCCCGCGTTTGCTGGGGACCTCGTGGCCGCTGTTTACAGCACCAGTCGCACATCTCCTCCTCCTGCCGCACGCAGCACCCGAGACCCTGCACAGCCTCCCGATACGCCTCAGAGCCCTGGTGAGCAACACAGTATCTAGCTTCATATTATTCTGCATTGCTGTACAATGTATTGCTGGGATTTGTAGTCCTCTATGGCTGGTGGTTTTCTGCATTACTATATAATGTATTGCTGGGATTCGTAGTCCCTCTACAGCTTGGAGTCAGTGGCAGAACTACCAGGGTCACATCTACTACTGAAGTCCTAAAATCATTAGTCAATTGTATTAGAAAAACTGTCACGACACTCAGGAAAAAAAACCAAAAACGTTTTGGTACTTTGTCTTGAAAAAACTGTATTGGTGCATCCCTACTTAAAGGTATTTGACTTGTATTAGGGCTCCACTTGACCACTGTTGGGTTTTCCTCTTTTGTTAAATCTGTGAAAGGTGCTGCTATATTGCCAAAGTCCAGAATAAATCTCTGATAGAATCCCACTATGCACAGTAAATCTGATGGGTTTTATTATGAGTGCTTGAAGCCAGTCCATGATTTCCTTCTACTTTGTAAAATGTTCACACTATGCTGTACCCAAGATAATATGCTTCTTCTCATAGCCATCTTCCCTAGCAGGTCCTCTCACCAGGGGCTGCCTGCAGAAAACTACAGGGGCGGATGCAAGACCAGTCACCCTGCACAGGGAGAGAAAGCAGCAGTGACTGGCCTTTGTTACAGGAAACTCAACACAGAGGCAAAGTGGAGGAGTTGTTTCATGCTGGATTACTGGCGCAGATCTTGAGGAAATTTTTAATTGACACCAAGTTTCAAGTAAGAATACAAATACCTCTTGTTTTTAGACCATATTTATTTAGCCTGGAGTTCATCTCTAAGATGGATACCACAGCCCAGCGATTTTTTACTTTCTCCCACACTTGTGGGAATTTTGGACACTATGTGCCAGCCTGACCCTGTTGCTCCCCTTCCCTGGGGCAGATATCCCAAATGCTCCTGGCAGAGGCTGAGGAAGCCTACCATGATCTTCAAAACGCAGTCTGAAGAACAGCAGTGAGGTTTGCAATGCACCATCAGCACAATATTAGAAAAGAATGGTAGTCCTAGCTATTACACACAATGTCCAGATTCTGTCTAGACCAGAACAGTTCGCTCAAGGACCAAAAACACATCCCAATGTATCCCTATGTGATTTCTGGGCAAAAGTACACACTTTTGCAGTGCTTTCTGTTTTAGACAGAAAAAATATTGCATGTCTTATTTTACCTGTCTGAAATGCATAAAACATGTCAAGCACATGGAACGCACTGAAAAGCCCATTTTAAGCTGAAAAAAAAGTGAGCCGGGCGCAATGCGAGGCAGTGCGCTCTGGCTAGAATTGGGCCAGAACGCACTTCATCTGGTGTGAACGGGCCCTTACTCTGCAACATACCAAAGGCATGCAGGTACACAGGAGGTAATTGCATTAAATGTCATTACTTTACAGGAGGAATAAAGAATTGTTTCAATAAGCTGTAAGGGTACCACAAATCTACCTGTAGGAAATTCCACTGAGGGGGGATGAAGAAAAAAAAAAAATAGAGGGTGCTAGGGACAACATAGCGTTCTGTGCCATAATAAAAAGTACAAATTAGAGAAAGTAAAGGAAACTGATTCTTGTAGATCAGGAAATCCCTACAGAGAGGGATTGGGCTCTAAATAAATCAAGTATAAAAGGAGTAGAAACCCAATAATGGGAAAGAACTCCACAGCAGAGAGCAGTACAGGACTAAGTGGACTAGCACACTCAAGGGTGGATTTCTACACAGACACAAAAAATACCCAAGCAAAACTGGCAACATATACCCAAAGTAATTAAAGAATGCCAGAAATCGGTCAATTAAAGGGTTATTAAACCCTCCAGTGTTTTTGCATACATTTACTGCTAGCAATCAGTAGATATATGCAAAAATGTAAAACAAAAAGAAAAACACGCTTTAAAAGGCGGTTTAAATGTACCTGAGTCTACCCCGCACGCTCCCGTCCGAAAATGTGAAAATTCTCGGGCGGCCGCAAAGCATCTTGGGGTGGGCGCATGCGCAGTTCACATTTTCGGCGGGGAGACGAGGAGAGACACAAGGTAAGTATATGGACGGCATGCACCAGCATGCAGACACCGTGGGACAGGAAGTGCCAGCTAGGAGTCCGTGCTGGATCGGAGACCCACAGCAGTGCTGGAGGGACAGATGAAAAGGACAGAAAAGAGGAAGATCGGATTAAGAAACATCATTTAAAAGGTAAGTGCTTTAATTAACATTGGGGGAGGGAAAATATCTGACTTTAATGTCACTTTAAAGATATTCTACAGTAAGTTTCAAAAAGCAAGGAGCTACAAGCAAAAACCTGAGCATCAAAATGGTTAGGATACAACAAATGATCCGGTAAAAACAACAGCTAGTCTTCCACATGGAGGATAGAAGTGAGTCTTGATACAGAGTCCTGAACAGAAGAGACCAAGGATTTGTGTCAAGCTCTGCCACTTGAATGAGAAAAAAAAAAGCTGTGCATGTCCAGAATATACATCTATGATCAACTGCTGTAGAAGTAGAGTAAGAATGTGGTAGATATAAATCTTCTACAGTGGGAAGGTTGCACACTCTCAGCATTGGAGGGATCAGGAATAACCTGCTCAATGATAGAGCCAAAAAGGTGTCTACCCTTGAAGTAAAAGTTAATTAAATGCTCCCTAAGGGCATGATCAGCTTCCCAGATAGGGAGCTAAAGTGCTTTACAAATGTGAACATTAGGCGCATGCCAGAAGCACGCCGAGTTGCTTGGTCTGGAAAGTGCCACAATGCAGAGATCAGTGCCCACAGATGATTTACCTAAGTTTATCTTTGACACAATCATAGGCTCACTGACAGTGAATCTTCAGAGACTTGGTAACACCAGAGGCTGTCCTATGCCTCTGGACCTTGAGGGTGCGGCTAATTAACAGAACACTATGGTCTGGAATGGGCCACAACCCAGATTAGCCTAGCGATCTTCGGTCCAGGTACAGCTTTTTAAAGCTAGTGCTGAGAATAGGGTATTCCCGACAGCTGTTATGAAGAGACCGGCTCAAGCAGCGTATTTGAGGTCCCGAATGAAATTACTAAACATAACATCCACAGTGTAACTAATATCTTGTTTGAAGAGAAAAAAACCCAAAACTAATTGTAGAAAAAATAAATAAATTGGGATTTTGCACAGCTGAGGGAAACAAACACCTAATCAATAACAAAAAAACATAGAGAAGGGGTTTTTACAGGGCTGGTTTAACATTTTGTTTTGGCAGTGTCCATAAGTTCCTTAGGTAGCAGCATAACCCACATCTCAGACTATTCTACAATCCTGTGTCCCTTAATGGCCAATAAAAAAAAACACCACAATTCTACAGCCACCTGGCATTCTGATTGGGCAAAGCTTTTTCACTCTCATGCTTGCTTATAGCCTCTCTAATGCCAAATAATATTGTAAGCCAGTGTAGCAGCACATTATAGTAGTGGACCAATAGGACTAGCTGGGGCAGGGCTTAGTTGCAGACTAACATTAGCTAACATTCTTACTGACCTCTGTAAGCTGTTTCTGTAATTCACCGATTTTCTTTTCATATATCTTCTTTCTGTCAGACACAATTGCCATCAGATTGAAACGTATCTCACCTTCAGAATATCTGAAAGGGGTAACATTTGTTTTAAATCACCACAAAAGGCAAAACCTGGACAAAAAGAAATGTGTTAAATGCAGTCACAGGACTTTGTAAGAACTGCAACATGTCCTGGTATTAACAACTGCCATTCGGAATCACTGCAAGAGGAGTTTTAAAAACAACCAAACTTTCAGGGCCCTCCCTTCTTCAGTATTTAATAGTACCTTGCTTACAGCTTAAGGATTCCTTGATTCTAAAGGTCTCGCTTTACTGTAAAGGGTCTTTTACAGCAGTTTAGGCATGTACTGATACCTAGCAATGCCTGAGTGTATTGCCCCAGCCAGTTTTGCACCTTTATTGTACCGACTGGTTTACTTTAAAGTTAACTTATGGACTTGACCTAATCCATAAAGATTGCTCTCTCTCTGATCTTTCATATGTGCTAGAATAATTTTGATTTTACTTTATTTTAAAAGGCATGACTTTCGTAACTTCTGAGTTAAAGTGTATTTCCACTTTCGGAGCCAAAAAAGGGATAACACCTATATAATATTTGTTACATTTAAACCATTACATAGCATAAGCAAAAAAAAAAATGCTTCTAGCAGTTTAAAGTCCATTGTGACCTTTGTACGGGATTAGCATGTATTGTGGCAATGTGGAGGTGCAGTGATGATGTATATGTATGTACATTTTTATGACTCGCATTGCAGACTCTACATTTTGTTGTATGAACTTTTTATTATGCCTGAATCCTACAAATTCAAAATATTCTCCACAGGAAACTCAGTCTGACACTGGGATCGGATTGTAAAGCAGGCTGTAAACAGCTGCCCCCTCCCTGTAAATCTGTGTAACAGCTTTGCCTTTGCACACAATACACTGTCGGTTGGAGCGGTGGTGCCACTATGAATACTAATGAATGGGGGATGGAGAGCTCAGTTGTAATATATACAGATTGCTTGCAAAACACAGATGCAACCATTTTCATGAGGATATGAAGAGGAAAGCTAACCAATCTCATTCAGATGGAATGCCGACACAACCTTCGGCAGGAACGCCGGCCGAGGACGGAGAACCGCCTTGTCCCGATGCAAAACCAGCAACGGGGACTTGCAGGACAGGACGAACAGAAGTGATGGCCACCAGAAAGGCCACTTTGTGACAAAGATAGAAGCGGAATCTCCCGAAGAGGTTCAAACGGGGATTCCTGCAACACCTAAAGCACGAGATTCAGAAAGGCGAGCGGACAGGGGGAGCAATGCGTGTCACCCCCTGAACAAAAGTGCGAACCAGAGCATTAGACGCCAAAGGCCGCTGGAAAAGCACCGCCAAGGCAGAGATTTGACGCTTCACGGTACTCAAGGGCAGCCCCTGAGCCACCCCGCGCTGCAGGAAGGCAAAGAGCCTGCTGATGGAGAACAAACGCGGGGACAGGGCCCCAG